CCGGGGGGCTGGCTGTACTCACTGGACTCCCTTCCATATAACAGTGATTACGGGCCTGCTGTTAGAACTTATAATTTAATGTATTGGAAAAGACACTCATATATTACTATGTCACACATTTTAAAATACTTTAAGCACTATATTTCAGTGTAATAGGTTTGTACCATATACATGATAGGTTTCCTTTACAATCTTACGTGTTTTGTCTAAGGCATTTAAAAACATTATTCCAAGAAGGAGGCCATAGATTCCCCCAGATTTTGCTCAAAATGAGGGTGGCAGACAAAACAAGAAGGGCAGAAGGTTGGTAACTATAGAAACCGGGTGATGGGCACACGGCAATTCTTTGTTCTCTTCTCTCTACTTTTATGTGTGTTTGCAAATTTCCATTTTTAAATTTTTTATTAATGAGAGGGAGAGAGAGAAACATCAATCAACTGCCTCCTACACGCACCCCGACTGGGGATCGAACCCGCCACCTTCTGGAATACAAGCCGTCACTCCAACCAACGGAGTCACCCCAAGGCTGTTTGCACATTTTCTAATAGAAAGCTCTTGTAGGTGATTTCAAACATTTGCATGTGATTAAGGAATCAGTAGTTCTCAACCTTCCTAATGCCACGACCCTTTAATACAGTCCCTCATGGTGTGGTGACCCCAAACCATGGAATTATTTTCGTTGCTACTGCATAACTGTAATTTTGCTACTGTTATGTCTTAGGTGACCCCTCTGAAAGGGTCGTTCAGCCCTCAAAGGGGTCGCGACCCACAGGTTGAGAACCGCTGTAAGGAATAAATACTATCCCTTAGATGTAGATAAACAAAGACGTTATGAACCACCGGTGATTCTGTGGCTACCCAGAGTAACCACTATAGAGTTTGCCAGAACAGAACCTTGAGTTTTGTTTGTTTTGTGTGTGTCAGTCTTTCCGCGATAAGTGGCTCTCATTTCTCAGTCCAGTGCCTCAGTAAGTTAGTAAATAAGTCAATGTATAAACAATGCCTTTGAGCTTGACTTGGAGACCCCACAGAAGGGGCTGGGACCGAGACCCCTCCCTCCAGGTAGCGCTGGACTCTTCTTGTCTGGGGTTCACTTGTCCGCGTTCTCTTCCCTCTTTTAGCAGCAGAGTCATCACCCCTCAGAAAGCCAGAACCCCAGACAGCCCCAGCGATGCCCACGCTGCTGAGCCCTGCAGGTCTGTGTGGGGACGAGGTGCTGGAGAGCCACTGGCTGTGGGCTGGACCAAGTGTCCACGCGAGTGTCCACACTGACTGTGTGAGGCAGGCAGAGCCCCAGCTCCCCCAGCACACACCCCCGTACCCTTGGAAACCTGGGCCTGACACCCCCATCAGCCTTCCCGGCTACAGGCCACCCCACCAGCAGGCTTTTACCCGTTGCCTCTGGAGAGGCTGCAGGTAAAGGAGAAACAAATGCCTGTGCCTTCGCCCACTCTTCCTTCTTCAAACCTCAGCTCAGGCGCCACCTCCTCTGGGGAGTCTTCCCTGATGTAACCTGGCTGGATTAGGGCCCCTCCTCCCCACTGGGCCCTCAACACACTGGTGCAGAGGTAACGATGGCCCCTGGGCCCACTGCCAACATCTCTGAGCCCATCACAACCCCGTCAGGGGAAACACCTCGCACCCTGACATAAACCAGAAGGAACAGGGCCACCCTCCCTGGTTCTGGTCTCCAAAATGACAAAGCCTGAGTTTTTCTCATGAACCTGGGTTCCCGAACAAAAACGAGTCTATTCCTGGAGCTAATTCTTACCCTTTGTGAGTATGACTTGTGAAATAGCTGCTGTCCTACCGGTGGCACGGAGGGTTTCCTCTCCGTCCTTGCTGGTCCGTGTTTGGCCAGCAGGTCCACCTTACATTCTTCACTGAAGGACTTCCCTCTGGGCTTCTGAGAGTCCTCCTTTGACCCAGGCTGTGAACACTGATGTCCCCGCCTGTGGACCCCATGGACTCGCCAGCTCAGGGCAGGGGTGGGTGGTCTCCATCTCCACTTTCCAGAGCCTGGCACAGGCTGCCATGCCTGAGTGCTCAGTAGGCACTTGGTGAATGACGTAGCCAATGAGGAGAGCCGGCCAGAGGGCAGGCCCTGCTACTCGTTGACCCCAGGCTATTCCTCAAGGCCCTGCTCTCCCCAGAGTCCCAGGCCAGGGAGCCCAGAGCGTCTGTCTCCTCCACCCACATCGCAATCACTGGACTACAGCAGGGCCTTGGGCTGAGTAGCTAACTCGGGGGGGCTCCTGAACGTTCCCTGCATGGATAGGTCCCACAAGTGCTCTCTATGTGCTTGAGGTCAGCCCACCTGAGGGCCTTGCACCTGGCAAGGGCTCCAGCAATGTGCATGGGCTCCTTAGTCCAGTTGGAGGGCTTTCCTGGGGCACATGGGGGCAAGGCGTTTCCAGGGATGCGCAGGCAGGGCCTGGGTGGGCATCTGCATCCCTGCAGACGTCCTCCAAAGGGGGAGGTGGCGTCCACTCCTGCCCTGAGCTCTCAGTGGCCACTCGAGGGATGTCATAGAGAGCCTTTGCAAAGATCTGAAGCTCAGTGCTCCTCATCTGTAAATTGGGGACAATCAGGTTTGCCCTCACCTGAGCCAGTGTTTCCCCCTGTGTGAGACTCGGTCAGCGACTTGGCTGAAACCCACACTCGGGTCTTGCTGCCTACCCCACCGAGCCTACCTTGAAGGACGAGTTGGGCGGGTCTCTCTCCTAGTTGTAGCATGTCTACCCTTGTCTCCTAGTCCCCTTTCATTCTATCAGAACCCTGATTTTTTTTTTTTTAATCCTCACTGGAAGATATTTTTCCATTTTCAGATAGAGTGGGAAGGAGAGAGTAAGAGACATGATGTGAAAGTCACACATAGATTGGTTGCCTCCCGCACGACCCTGACCAGGGCTGGGGACCAAACCGCAACCGAGGTACCTGCCCTTGATTGGAATTGAACCCACAGCTCTGGTGTGTGGGCCGACACTCTAACCACTGGGCCAAACTGGTCAGGGCAGAACCCTGATTTTTATCAAGGGGCAATGTGTACAGCTAAAGTATTCTCAATTTCCCAGCTTCCCATGCAGCAAGGGAGGGTCATGTGCCAATCCAGAGATGTCCCTGGGTGGGTGTCCCTTATGGAAGACAAAAAGGAAGCCTCTCTAGGAAAAAAGCCTCACCCTTTCCCCGTCTCCTGACTGGAATCCCTTTGCTTCCTCATTTTATCCTCAGGTTCTGTAGGTGGAGCAGGTACCATCCCCACTTTACAGAGAAGACGGAGGTTCAGAGAAGTGAACTGACTTTCTCAAGGTTTCGGGTCTCAGCTCCTACCTGAAAGTGGAAGCGGCCAACCCACCCCACTGAGATGAACTTGCCTCAAGTTTCCCTTTCTGGCAGGCTGCCAGGAAGTCGGCACCCAGCTGTCGTGACCAGTATTTCCCTCTACAGGGGGCTTTGCTGCCCAGCCCTCGCCCACATCCTCACTGCCTGCCTGTCAGTTTGAAAGCAATCCTTCCTTGTCGGTCTTCTCCAGTCCTCTTTTGGAAAGATTGGCTGGGAGAGGGGGACCTCTCACTGGCCTCCCCAGATCTCCACACTGCTCTGGGCTGCCAGTGGGCTGTCTGGTTTCTGAGTGGGGCTGAAGTCACAGCCTCTGTGGGGAGGAAGGGGTCTCCCCTCGTCAGAGTCCTGTCCCCAAGAACTCCCTTCCTGCCTGTCTGAGGCCACCGTAATTCGCCCTGGGTACTGCCCTGTTTCTTACTGTTTCCTATACCTGTCCACACCTTTGTAAACTGTCTCTTTAACAAATTTTCAAAGTAGCCAGGTTGAGTGTTTTCTGCCAAGGTCCTGTTATGGGCTAAATGTTTGCGTCCCCCAAATTCATACGTTGAAGTCTTAGCCCCCAGTGTGATGGTATTTGGAGCAGGGCCTTTGGCACATGGCTATGCAGTCATGAGGGCGGGACCCTCGCGATGGGATTAGGGCCTTAGTGAGAGGGCCAGAGATCCTGCTGTCCGGGCCGCCCTCGGGAAAGGCCATGGCAGTACACCCATCTAAAGTGGGCCACCAGACACTGAATCCGCTGGCACCTTGATCTTGAACGTGCAGCCTCCAGAACTGAGAAATGTCTGTCACTTAAGCCACCAGTCCATGTTAATTTGTTACAGCAGCCCGGACAGACAGGCCCTGAACAGAGTCAGAAAGTGCAGTGTTAAAAGCTCTGAAAACTGTCCTCCCCTCCCCCACAAGTCCCCCGCGGTGCTCGGCTCCTCACCCTGGCCTGCTCCCTGCCCCAGCGCCATGAAGCCTCCCCGCTGCCTGGGCTCCAGGCGAGAAACGGAGCAATGGGCCTGGCAAGAGCGTAGGCGCCACAGGTTCTCTGGCTTGGCAGGTCCCCAGGAAGGAGAATTTTGGGTGTGGGTGGGCCACTGTCATAGAAGCTGAGTGACACCAATGTGAAGAGTGAAATGATAGCCATGCATGGGACATCACGGAGCAGAGAGGGGACAGCAACTCAGCCTGGCTGGGAGCTGGGAGGCATGGAGGAGGCGTTCCTGCCGTGAGGGCGGAGTTGGATCCCAGCGGCGAGCAGGTGAGGGCATTCCAGGCAGAGGGAACACCATGGACAAAGATCAGGAGGCAAGAAATCGTGTAGAGGGGCCTGGACTCCAAGCTGTAGGCCACAGGGAGTGTTAGGCCCAGGAGAAATCCACCAAATGTACGTCCAGGCCAGACGGGGCAGGGTGGGGAGGGCTGAAGGCTGGGGCCAGCAAGGAAGCGGCCCATTGGAGTAAGGCCTCGTGTCCCTGAAGGCCATCTCTTAGCCTCTCTGACTCCTGAGGTTCCAAGTTGGAGTGGTACAAGTTTGTACTGAAAACTGACTCTGCCTCTTTAAATGTTCCTTTCTCCCTGACCCTCCTCCCTCTGTGTCTCTCCCACGTACAAGGAGGCTGCTAAGGGAGTCGCCGTCTCCCCATCCCATGCCCCCAAACAGCCTCCACTGGATCTGTGTGTGTTTTATTTTCATTGCTTTGGTCTATACAAAAAACCAATAACCAAAAACATAAAGCGATAATAATAAAAATCTCCCCAGGGACCACCCCTAGCCCCGGCACCCATGTACAGGAGGTGGGGGGTGGGCTGAAACGGGAAGGGGAAGAGAAAGCCCCTCACCGCACACCAGAGGGGTCAGCCAAGAGCACTTCTGGGGTCAGCTAGGGCAGTTGTGAGGGTGGGACAGGGGTGTGAGGAAGCTGTCCCGAGTTCCCCCAGGGAGGGGAACAAAGCCAACTGAGCATCCTGGGGAGAGAAGCAGGCAGGGCCCTGGAGCGGGGGACTCACTCTCCACATCTGTCCCATCTCCCTGAACTTTTCAAGAGGAGCTGTGGATTCTGGGGCTTTGGGCCTTGAACCTGGGTCCTGGAGACCCCGGAGGCTCAGGACAGTTGGTCAGGTGGAGTTCAATGAGAAAATGAAACCCAGAGAAGGAACCAAAGCCCCATGAGGCCCAGGCGGCTGGAGACGGGCAGCCAGGGCAGGGGAGGGGGGACCACTGGGGGAACAGAGTCTAAAGCTTTAGTGCCGGGGCCACAGGGTGGGGGAGGGGTATTGGGCCATTGACCCACAGCCCAGAACAGAAAAGCAGGAGCAGATCACCATCCCAAGACAGACCCGATGGAGGCACGGGGTTCGGCAGGAAGTCGTGGCCCTGGTCCCCCAGGCTCAGGCACTTTTCTGTCTTGCCCCATCGTCTGCACAAGCCTCTCAGATGAGGAGCCGCACCTGGGGATGGGGCAGACACAGAGGGTTCAGGGCAGGCTATGTCCCCTAGCTCGTGCCACTCCCGCATCACCCACCCACCACCCACAGAAAGGGCAGGACTCCCTATCCCCAGCAAAGATAAAAGAATAAGGCAGGCCAGGGCATGCCTTCCTTGGAGGAGCTCAGTAACAAAAGACACCACACTCATTTCCCCCAAAAAGGATCCAGTTTCAACAGAGGACCTCTGTGAGGAGGAGGTTCTAGAGCAGTGGTTCTCAACCTGTGGGTCGCGGCCCCTTTGGGGGTCGAATGACCCTTTCACAGGGGTCGCCTAAGACCATCAGAAAACACCTATTTCCGATGGTCTTAGGAACCGAGACACCGCTCCTCTGTCTCCAGGCGGTCCGCCCACACGCAGATAGGCCCACAGACAACATGAGGAACCGTATTAAAGGGCCGCGGCACTGGGAAGGTTGAGAGCCACTGCCCTGAGGGAAGGGACAGTGTGTCTCAGCAGCCCACGGGCACGAGGGAGGCTGCAAAGCGGGAGGCACCGTACTGGGGTCGAGCCAGCTAGGCCAGCATGTGGTCCGCAGTGGGGTAGGGGGGCCGGAGGCCTTCGCTGTAGGTGTCGATGGGGTAGTCCCCGTCCATGTCCATGTGCATCTCCAGGGCGTCCAGGGGCACGTCACTCGAGTACATGGGGCGGTAGGTGGCATCCATGTCTGGGAAGGAGAAGAGGGACTCTGTCCAGGTTCTGCAGGCCACCCTGTGGGGGCGCCTGGACAGCCCTCAGCCACCTCCTATACCTCTGCCTAACCCCAGGGGGCCTGACCTCTCTCTATAAACTCCCACGTCAGGGGACCTGGACAGGGGTCCGCGTGGATACCATACAGTAGCTGCCACTGGTCCTCTGGCCCGCAGACACAGTGCCTCCCCCTCGCTCACACCCCCGCCCCTCCCTGCTCCCTGGGGTCCTGAGAACTCTGCACACACTTACCATCTCCATAGGGTTCGTTGATGGGGATCATGCTCTGGGCCTGAGAAAGGAGACAGAAACAGTGAGCGAAGGAGAAGGGTGGAAGGTGCAGGGGCTGCGGGTGAGCAGCTAGAGATGCTCTATAAAGGGGCCCAGGGGGAAGCAAGGCTCCCTTGAGGGAACCAAACGCAATGGGGTTACCCAGTACCCTGATGAACTCCCCCCTCAGGCACCCAGGGCGGAGGGTCCCACCATGCATACTTGGGGGCACCCACAGAACAAGAACAGCCCTGGGGAGGGCCGTCTAGGGGAGCTGCCCTGCCGGGATCAGGGCAGCCCGACGGCCTACACAGAACTTCGTGCAAGTTAGAAAAGGCAGTCTCCTGCCTCAACACTTATATCGATTTGGACAAGATTAAGTTGCCGTTTTGGTAGGTGAAAACCAGAGAGATGGTTCAACCTGCTCTTTCCATCTCCTGAGAACTGTCACAAACGACCAGTTACACAAGAGCCCCATGAAGCCGCCCGGAGGGCGGGCCTCGCCCCCGGGGCTGCGCGGGACTCACAGCCTCCCAGGCCGCCGGGTCGTGCTTGAAGAGGGAGTTGGTGAGCTCCACCGACACGCGCTTCCGGTAATCCGGGTTCTTGTCCTCGGAGATGCGGAACAAGACGGCCGCCGCATAGGTGGCTGCGCAGGGAGGAACGGCCGTCAGCACCGCCGCCACCCCGCTGGGGGACGGACCCCTCCCTCGCCCCGGCCCCAGCTCACCGGTGCCCTCATTGCGGGAGTGCAGCAGCTCCATGAGCGGGGCCGAGGCCCCTTCAGCATCAATGGCGTCGGCCGCCTCCTTGTCCTGGGCCAGCTCGCACAGGACCCCAGCGGCCACGCGCTGGATGTTCTCCACCGAGGAGTACAGGAGCTGGGGACAGGGCGCCGGGTGGGTGAGGCAGGCGGGCACACTGCAGGGCCCTGCCCGTCGCTGCCTCCCCTTTCTGGATTTCACCCAAGCTCCTTGGCATGGTTCCACAGGATTTTATTATAGTCATCGATATATCCTGCTTTTTTTTTTTTTTTGGTACATGCCCCTAGCGGGAACCGAACCCAGCACTCTCTGGTCCACAGGTCAGTGTTCCAACCACTGAGCAAAACCAGCCAGGGCTCTATATCCTGCTTTTTTCACTTGACATAGCATAAAGCGTTTCCTGTATTATTAAAGAATTTTCCTTGCCCTGGCCGGTTTGGCTCAGCGGTTAGAGCGTTGGCCTGCGGTCTGAGAGACCCGGGTTCAGTTCCCGCTAAGGGCATGTACCTCGGCTGCAGTTTGTCCCCGGCCCTGGTTGGGTCGTGTGGGTGGCAACCACTCACGTGTCCCTTTCACGTCGATGTTTCTCTCTCTCTCTCTCTCCCTCCCACTCTATCTGAACAAAAAATGGAAAAAATGTCCTTGGGTGAGGATAAAAAACAAAAACAAAAAACTTTTTCTGAAAATCTGAATTCACACTGATACTCAAAGAAAGAAAAGAGAATGCTACAAAACAAAACAATAATCACACCACACTAATCACCAAAACCCATGGCTGCGAACCTTCCAGTTCAGCCAAGGGGTAAGCAGGGGTTGGGGCACCTCTCCTGCCCACCTGCCCCAGACTCACCTGCACGAACAGGGGAATGGTGTTGAGTCGGAAGATCTCCATGCGGTTCATGGGGTCCCGGGCGAGGATGTGCAGGGCTCCAGTGCAGCCCTCCACAATCTCCTCCATCCTCACACCATCCTGCACGAGAGGAGCCATTGGGGCATGGCAGCAGGTGGCCCTGGACGTGGCCCCACACCCCCTGACACTGACAAACCTCGCCGGTCCTCGGAGTGGCATCAGTTGCAGCCTGCCTCCCCGAGTACACACACGTGTGCACACACATTCACACAGGAGACATCCTGACGCGCAGGGAGGGCAGCCACAGGCACCACCAGCCCACTTACCGTGTATGGCTGCTGTGTGCCTGCAGCCACGTGGCGCTGGGCATCCTGGTGGGCCTTGACCAGCAGCTGGACGAGGCGGGGAATGACGGCTGCCTCCTGCAGTGGGGCATGGTTGGCTGGGCACAGGGCCAGATTCCTGATCAGGCCAATGGTTGCCTGGCAAGTAAAGGGAAAACAATCAGTAGTTTTTGGGTGTCTGGAGGATCCCAATTCCCTGTCATCTCTCCGTCCCCCTGCACAGACATGGATGTGCTGGAAATTCTCCAGAGAATGAAACTACCCCAGCCATGCCTCGTATTCCATAGAACCTGCGGGTTCTCACCTGTCTAACTCTAACAGCCCCTGATAAAATGATATCCCATTCCAGAAACTGCCAGCTCCCATGCCCTGACCCTCACCCTTATCCTTTCTCTTAGCCCCTACCCCCTCCAGAGTCCCCAAACCCTGATTATCAGGGAGTCCTTGCTATGGTTGACTCCAAAGCCTCCTCAGTCCCCAGCAGGGCAGAGGTCTCCTCCCCAGGTTCCCCTGACTTCCAGGAGCCACCCTGGTCTCCTAGGGTCCCTCAGGGTCTTGCTGAGCAATTTATCATCTTGTTTGACTCCCAAAACAAGAAGCCAGTAGGGCTTCTTGCAAATCATGTGAGCGATAAGGAGGTGAGCACAGGGTGGGTGAACTGCCAGGGATGGAAATCACGTGGGAGATAAGGAGGTGAGCACAGGGTGGGTGAACTGCCAGGGATGGAAATCACATGGGAGATAAGGAGGTGAGCACAGGGTGGGTGAACTGCCAGGGATGGAAATCACATGGGAGATAAGGAGGTGAGCACAGGGTGGGTGAACTGCCAGGGATGGAAATCACGTGGGAGATAAGGAGGTGAGCACAGGGTGGGTGAACTGCCAAGGCCACTTGTCTGTTAGCTGCTGGGTCAGGATGCAGACACCAAGCCCAAGGATGGGCCTGAGCTGCCCTTTTATTCTCATTATGAACTTTAAAAAAATGCATGTAATCCCGCCCTGGCTGATTTGGCTCAGCGGTTAGAGTGTCGGCCTGCGGTCCAGAGAGACCCGGGTTCGGTTCCCGCTAAGGGCATGTACCTCGGTTGCAGTTTGTCCCTGGCCCTGGTTGGGTCGTGCAGGTGGCAACCACTCGATGTGTCCCTTTCACGTCGATGTTTCTCTCTCTCTCTCTCTCTCTCTCTCTCTCTTCCTCTGTTTCCCTCCTACTCTATCTGAACAAAAAATGAAAAAATGTCCTTGGGTGAGGATTAAAAAAAAAATGTATATAATCCCTTAGAGTCATTCTTACCTGTACTGTTAAAATGTCTAAAATTTAGCCAATGTCAGCTGGCTCTCCCAGGTGGCCTCCTGAGAAGACCTCACCCCTTCACACCCTGGACTCTCTAGAGCAGATACCAGGTGTCCCCCAGAATCCCTTCTATCCCTTGTCTTGTCAGCACCACTCCTGAGTTTTAACGGACACATGGCCCTCTGTCACATGACACGTTGCTAGCCTCCTTGCACATAGATGTAGCCAAATGGCCATGTTCCAGGGTGCGGGCTGAAGTGACATGTCCCACTTCCTGGTCATGACTAGCCGCCCACTTTTCTGGGGCCAGAACACATCTGTGGGGATGATACAGCCCAACCATTGGCGTGAGCACAGCTTTCTTATTCAGACCCTCTAGCGTAAGAAGTGAGCTCCACGGACCAGCAGCAGCACCGAGGGGCTGGTTAGAAAAGGCAGAATCTCACCTCCCGCAAGGCCAACTGAATCAACCTGTAGTTTGGTGAGATGAAGGTGGTTACGTGACTAGTAAACCTTTGAAGCTCTGCCCTTGGGGGAGACCAAGCTAACAGAGAGAAAGATTATCAGTCTCGGGAGCAGAGCGGCTGCGGAGGTCTAAACCATTCCATGTGAGAGGAATGAACTTCTCTGATCTAGGGCCTCTCTGTCATAGCAGCTTTGCCTATACTGATACAACACCTACTCTGACTGCAGAGGGCTCCTTCCCCTGGCACAACCCCCACCATGGCAGCGGCCATACCTTGACCAGTGGCCACTGGTTGGGCTGGTTGAGCAGCTTGACAATAGCCGGGATGCCATAGTTGAGGCGCACAGAGTTCTGGGCCATCTCGGCCTCGGGGTGGCGGCTGGTGAGGTGGCGTAGGGCGCAGACAGCAGGCTCCGTGATGTCATCCTTGTCGCCAGCACGCAGGATGGCATGGATGAGAGCCTCCACGCCGCTGTTCTGCGTCACCAGTGTCTTGTTCTTGCTATTGTTGCATGTCAGGTTGGACAGAGTGCCCGTGGCACAGGTGAGGACGTTGACGTCGTCTACACTCAGCTGGTTCACCAGGATCTTCAGCACGCTCTCCAGTCCCTCCTGGGGTCAGGGGTGCAGTGATGAGTGAGACACTCCCAACTGCTCCCATGCCTGTCCCAGGGGCGCGAGATGGCCTGACAGGGTCGGAAGCCCACTAGGCTGATACTCAAGGGGCCCTGCCTATGTGCCCGGGAACCTGCATCCCTATGATCCTGCCGACACCTGTGAGACAGCAGGGATCTCCTGTGGGGCAACTGAGGCGCAGAGAGGCTGTGTGGCTTGCCCACGGACCCACCACTAGTGGGCTGGATCTGAATCCAGGCCTGGCTGTAAGCTCCATGCTCTTTCCTCCAGCCCCTTGCTCCTCCTCTGCATCCTCAGACCCAGGCAGAGCCCCGCTCAGGCCGAAGGAGGCCCTCAGGCCAGGAGGAAATTGAGGAGGAGGCCACATGCTTTAGTGGCCCAGCTGACCCATTTTTACCTGCTTCTACCTTTCTGGCCTTCATGGCTGCCCCTCAGTGATCCCCAAGTCAAATCCACTTTCAGGAAACATCCCTACTCCAGAAACCTCACTTCTGTCACAGACTGGCCATGTGGGCCTGCGGTGGAACAGGAAAACCCCAGGCTCTGGGGACAGACAGTCCTGGGTTCATGTCCCAGCTCTGCCATTTCTTAGCTGTGCCTAAGGGCCTCACTTAACTTCATGAGCTTCTGTTTCTTCATCTAACCTACCCTGTCCCACACTCTCCCTCCAAGTGGTAAAAGGGGTACACAAGACAATGTCCAACAGTCCAGCATGCGGCGGGTGCTCATTAAACAGCCTATTGACCGTGTCTCTTAGGAATGACAGTCAGGTTGGAAGGGAGCAGACTTGTCCTAAACCTACACTTTTTCTGTTGTGGTTTTAGCCACTGGGACCCCCAAGCTGTCTCTTAGCATCCTGCTGCTGCCTACCCCCGGCCCTAGGTCAAAACTGGTCCCCTGGTACCACCTGAAACCCAGCTTAGAAAATCAGGCCCCGCTAGCGATTCCCCTTCCCGAATTCCTGATAGGGATTAGAGCCTCAAGCTACAGAGATGAGGGTCTCAGGGTACTTCCAGCCTCAGCCACAGCAGGGCAAGATTTAGAGGCCTTGGGCCTCCCATGGCTCCTAAGGTCAGACTCCTAGACAGGAGGTTGGGCGTGGTGAGACAGGAGGACAAGGGGGCTGAAGAGGCAAACCCAGGCCCGAGCATTTCCCTCACCTGCTTGGTGGCCACATCTGAGAGATTGCGCAGGGTCCAGAGGCAGTTCTGCACGAGGCGGGGGCTGTTGCTCGTCAGATGCTTGCCCAGAGCCTGCATCCCACCTGGGGGGGAGGACACGGGGCCCGTCAGCCACAGGGGAGCAGAGCTGACCAAGCCTGGCTAGTCCAGCCTTGGCCCTCCCAGCCCCACGGGCCGCAGCACTCACCAGCCTCCACGATGGCGGGCTTATTGTTGGGACACACCGACAGCACCTTGAGCACGCGGCTGGTGGTCCAGAGCAGCTTCTCGTAACTGTAGTTGCGCATGATCTGCACCAGGGCCTGAGGTCCTCCGTTGGCCAAGATGATGAGCTGTGGGGAGAGGGGGAGGATGAGTGTCAGACAGACAGACAGACAGGGAATATGACAACGAAGGGAACAAAGAAGGGAAAGGGAGCTCACAGAGCTGCCATTACTGAGCTTCAGCTAAAACCCAAATGGATTTTGACTATGAAATAAGCCAAAATCTTGAAAAAAGGATAATATACAATGTTGGCAGGAATGAGGTGATATCATACTTACAAACATGACTGATGGCATTGTAAATAATATAATCATTGCACTGGCTGGTTTGATTTTATGGTTAGAGCATTGGCCCACAGACCAAAGAGTCATGGGTTCGATTCCAGTCAAGGGCACCTTGGTTGCGGTTCGGTCCCTGGCCCTGGTTGGGATCATGCAGGAGGCAACCAATTGATATGTCTCTCTCACATTGATGTTTCTCTCTCTCTCTCTCCCCCTCACATTCTATCTGAAGATAGATGGAAAAATATCCTTGGGTGAGGATTTAAAATAATTATAATAATTATAATAATAATAATATAATCATTTTGGAAATCAATCTGGCAATTGGGGTAAAAGCCTAGAAATATACATATTTTTTTCCTTTATTGATTTTAGAGAGGAAGGGAGAGGGAGAGAGAGAGAGAAACATCGATGAGAAAGAACATCGATTGGCTGCCTCCTACAAGCCCCTCACTGGGGATTGGGCCCATAACCTGGGCATGTGCCCTGTCCAGGAATCAAACCCGCAACCTCTTGGTGCATGGGTCAGTGCTCAACCACTGAGCCACACTGGCTGGGCAAAAGCCTAGAAATGTGCCCTGGCCAGTTTGGCTCAGCGGTTAGAGCGTTGGCCTGTGGTCGGGATGGAAAAAAAAAAAAAGCCTAGAAATGTTAAAAACTCTTGGCCCTGCTGATGAAAAATTCTCCACTCTTTGGGAAAAGCTGCGCGCCCGAAGCTGTTCATTATAGCATTGTTTACAAAGGTGAAAAATCAGGAGCAATTCAGATGCCCTTCCTCAGAATAAAGTCTGGGGCCTCCACTTAAGGAAATGCTATTTGCCATTATAGAAGATCATTCTGAGGACAATATAACAACAAAAATTTCTTAATGTCATGCAGAAAGCAGACGCAGTTATCCATTTGCTTTGACTACAGCTACGTACAAATATGCCCACAGGATAGCCCTGGAGGAAGCTCATTGAGATAACAATGCTGTGTGAGAACAGTGAATTGTTTTTCTTTTCCTTATACTCAAAATAGTCCGTTATGTGATGAAACACGCACAAGTGCACACACATATATGTTTAACCTAAAAGCGGTCAGGAGGCAGTGGGGGGAGGCTGCAGCTGGACGGAGCTGGTGTAAGGTGGCTGTGGGTCTTGGTGGGGTGGGGGGGCCCACCTTGCTCTCCTGGTTGCCGTAGGCCAGCAGCTGCAGGCAGTCGGTGGTGATGGCCAGGAACTTGGGGTTGTTCTTGTTGAGCAGGGGCACCATCTTCTGCAGCCCGTCTGCCAGGCGCACTGCCATCTTGGCGCCCTCCTGGTACAGCAGCAGGTTGTGCAGCGTGGTGATGGCGTAGAACAGGACCGACTCCACAGGGGAGCTGCGATGGCCGGCGGGGTATTAGTGTGAGTCGGGCCCCAGGGGCCTGGCATAAATGTAGGCCACCCCCCCCAGGAAGCCTTCTCTAGTATAAACACCCCCATGGCAATAGCCCTTTGCTAAAAGCCCATCATCCCTTGAGCCCAGCCCACTTTTATGAGGAGAGCACACAGCACCTCTCCTCCCCTGCGGGACCCTGATGCCTGCTGCTGAGCAGAGAGCAGGTCCCCTGATACCTGTCCCGACCATGCAGAGTAACTGCCACAGGCAAGGCCACATGCTAGAGAGGCCCTGAAAGGGGCCCAGAAGAGAGGAAGATCAGTATCTACCCTCCAGGAACTCACAGCCTGGAACGGGACTGAGGGAAGAGGCCACTCAACACTGCGAGGTCAGAAAGAGAACAGTGGCAAGGAGCATGCTGCCCCTTCCTTGGAATACTCTTCCCTTCATCTGCAACAGCCAAACTCCACTCATCCATCAACCCTGCCATTAGAGTCAACAGCTTCTCAGAGGCTAAACAATCTCAGACACACCTTTGCCCCAGTCTATGCTGTGGCCTCATAACTAACCTGCTCGTTACACAAGCAACGAAGCACCAAGACTGGGAGTAGTTCTGCACCTGGCATACAGTAGGTGCTCAATACATGTTGTACGGAAGCCCAGGGAAGGGAGGAGGAAGACCAAGGGAGGGAGGCCCTGGGCCCCTACAGTGAGCAGGGGTGGGTACCTGAGCATGCGAACCAGGGCGGGGATGCCACCCGACTTAAAGATGGCGAGCAGCCCCTCGCGGTGGTGGGAGAGGTTGTGGAGGATGCTGGTGGTGCAGCGGGCCGTGTCCAGGTCGCTGGTGTTCTGCATGGTACGCACGACAGCTGCCACCAGCTGGGGCGAGCTCATCAGCGCCCGCCTCGATGCCTCCTTCTTCGACAGCTGATTCACAATCATGGCCGCCTTAGTCACCACCACCTGGAGGGTTGGAGGGAAGTATGGAAGAGAGCAGATCAGCCAGGTCCAGCTGCCACTGCGAAGAGGAGGTGACCAGGAGACCCCTTCACAAAGCTCAGAGGGACCTAGGTCAGACTCTTCCTACTGATGGGGCTCTGGGTCAATGACCTCCCTCTATCCCAGCCAGGCAAGGCCCTCCCCTGTGGACACCCGACCTCTCTCTTCCCTGTCTGCCCCCACCCCAGCCAGGCCCCTCACGGACCGGGTCCTCATCGTTCAGCAGTTTGGTGAGCTCAGGCAGGGCCCGGGTGGCCAGTTCAGCGTCGTCCTGGTAGTTGATGAGATGTACAATGGCCGACTTGAGCAGCTGGGACGGCTCGGCCAACCGCTGCAGGTTGGTGGTCTGCCCCTCCACCTGGGTGGCCAGCAGCAGCGAGCTGTCCTCCCCTGTCATGCCGGGACACATGGCTTCCCGCACTCGCTTGGCTCTGGCCGTTGTGGACATCTGGTACTCAAGGTCACCTAGGGTCCAATGGACAGGGACTGAGCTGCACAAGGCGGGCAGGGGGAACCTGGGGAGTAGGGCAGGCTGTGCAAACAGCCCACTGCATTCTCTGGGCTGCCTCCCAACCCGACCAAAGGCCCAGCACACCACCTACAGTTCTGCCTCTAACCAGTGACCTTGGGGAGGTCACTATCACCTCAGTTATGTCATCTATAAAATGGGGTGCCACCTGTTCTTTCCACCACAAGGAATTCTTATGAGAATTAAATGAGATAATAGTTGTGACTGGCTCTGAAAAGAAAGGATTCATGTGTAAGATATATCTCACTACAAAAACGTTAGTAATTATTTTCATTAATAGAAATAGCGCCCTGGCCAGTTTGGCTCAGCAGTTAGAGTGTCGGCCTGCGGTCCGGAGAGGCCCGGGTTCGGTTCCCCGCTAAGGGCGCCTACTTCGGTTGCAAGTTTGTCCCCGGCCCTGGTTGGTCGTGCGGGTGGCAGCCACTCGATGTGTCTCTTCACGTCGATGTTTCTCTCTCTCTCCCCCTTTCTCTCTCTCCCTCCCACTCTATCTGTAAAAAAAATGGAAAAATATCCTCGGGTGAGGATAAAAAAAAAAAAAAAGAAATAGCTAACATTTAAAAAATATTTATCATAAACCTGGCAGGGAATTAAGTGTTTTTTCTTGTATTTTCTCATTTAATCTTACAACAACCCTACAAGATAAGTACTATCTTTAAAAAATATTTTTAGCCCAGCCAGTGTGGCTCAGCAGTTGAGCGTCAATCTATGCACCAAGAGGTCACTGGTTCGATTCCCAGTCAGAGCACATGCCCAGGTTGTGGGTCTGATCCCCTGTGGGGGGCATGCAGCAGGCAGCCAAGTGATGTTCTCTCTCATCAATGTTTCTATCTCTCTCTCTCTCTTCCTTCCCCTCTCTCTAAAATCAATAAAGAAAAAAATTTTTTTAGCCCTGGCCAATTTAGCTTAGTGGTTAGCGTCAGACCTCTGACCATTGAGTTGCGGGTTTGATTCCAGTTAAGGGCACGTACCTCAGTTGCAGTTTGTCCCCAGCCCTGGTTGGAGTCATGCAGGAGGCAACCAGTCAATGTGTCCCTCTCACATTGATGTTTCTCTCTCCCTCTCTCCCCCTCCCACTCTATCTGAAGATAAATATAAAAATATCCTGTTGAGAATTAAAAAATATAGCCCTGGCCGGTTTGGCTCAGCGGTTGGAGCGTCGGCCTGCGGTATAGAGAGAATTAAAAAATATATATATATGTATGTGTGTGTGTGTATATATATATATGTATATATATTTAATGTAGTTAATAAGATCTGATACTGATATATTTTTTTAATTTTTATTTATTGATTTCAGAGAGAAAGGGAGACATCAATTTGTTGTTTTGCTTATTTATGCATTTATCAGTTGATTTTTTCTTTTAGAAAGTCACTATCTTTATTTATTTTTCTTTATTGATTTTAGAGAAAGGAAGGGAGAGGGAGAGAGAGAGAGAAACATCAATGAGAGAGAACATCAACTGGCTGCCTCCTGCATGCCCCACACAGGGGATCATACCCACAACCTGGGCATGTGCCCTGACCAGGAATCGAACCAGCAACCTCTTGGTGCATGGGTCGACGCTCAACCACTGAGCCACACCGGCTGGGCATCAGTTGATTCTTATATGTGCCCTGACTGGGGATCAAACCTGCAACTTTCGCACATTGGGACAACACTCTAACCAACTGAGCTACCTGGCCAGAACCAAGATAAATACTATTATTATTTCCACTTTACAGATGAAAAAACTGAGGCACAGAGAGATTATAAGAACCCAAGCTGGGATCTGAACTCAGACAATCAGACTCCAGAGCCCAAACCCCAATTCTGTGTCCCACCCTTAACAACCAGGTAAAAGTCAGATGAGACAACCTGGTTCTCTTCAACCCTGAAATCTCATGATTCTAATTATACCCTCATCATCTGCAAAGGAGGCAACTCTCCCATTATACGGACAGGCAAATCGAGGCAGAAGATACCAGTATCATACAGCAGATCAGAGGGAAAGTGTGGACGGTGGGTTTCAGAAAGCAGAAGGTGGGTTCTTAGCTCAGACTCCAGGTTCCACTTCCTGGGGAGACCTGGGAGGCCCACAAATAGGTGCCCAGGCTTCCCAGGCAGCCCTGTCCTGGCGAGTGTCCCGATGCCCTGGGGAGAGGGAGGCAGTTTCTACCCTCCAATTAATCGGGGAGGAGACGTCGACATGGCTTTCCCACCTGAATGCTGGTGGGACATCCCCGTCCCTAAGCCCTAGAACTGGATCCGTCACTTTACCACCTGACCTTGGCCCCCTTCCAGGTCCACATGCATCTCCATGTCAGCATGTTCCACGTGCTGGCCTTGACTCCTCCCCGCCCCCACCAGGAGCCCTCAGGCTTGAGAACTGCACCTCCCCTACCAGACTGGGGGCTCCCTGAGGGCTGGCACTCTGCCTCCCCATCAAACTTGAAGGTTCTAGAACAAAAGAACTATGTATTTCCGCGGCCATGGGTTCCCCGAGGGCAACAGTGACACCTCCTCATCATACTGTAAATTCAGGGACAGCAAGGACTGTGCCTCTGCCATCAGACTTTGGGCAGGAGCCAGGCTCCCCCCCATTCGAGAGCTCCAGGGAGAAGCATCCGCCTCCTTCCCAGCCGGGGGCGCCCTGAAGCAGCTGTGCCCCTTCCCTCAGGCTGGGTGGATCTCTAAGCGGAGCCGTGCCCGCCCACTCAGAGTGGAGGCCCCTGGTGTGCCTTCTTTACGCTGACCTCCCTCCAGGGCCCAGCCTGGTTTTCTGCTGGTATATTCCCATGGAATAGTCCCCAGGGGTCCCCAGGGCTCCCACCTTGGCTCTGAGGTACCCCCTGGGTGTAGGTAGTGGTCTTCTTGAGTGTGTACTGGCGCCCGCAGGCGTCCTCCTCCTCCATGATGCCCTTGCTGCTGACGGAGGGCACGCCGGTGTTGGCGCCCGAGTGAATGCCCGAGTCATAGGTATACGTCTGCTGCCACTCTGTCACCTTGATGGGCTGTTCGATCAGGTTCATCACCTCCATGGTGGCTGCTAGGGACACAAAAAAGAGGCAGGACATCAGCTGGCCCCACAGGGCATCCCATTGGCAGGTGCAGCCCCTGGCTTCCCCAGGCCCTGCCCATTCCTCCTTATTCCTACCACAGAGCCAAAGGCCCTGGTGGGCTGTAGTGGAGAGAGTGGGGGCAGAGGGCACCAGGCCCAGGGGGGATATCCACGCGTGAGTCCTGGGCTTGCATCTCTGGCCTCCAGCCAGGGTGAGGTGAACCCCATGGTGGGTAGGGCAGTAAAAAGCTAGATGCCCCAACACAGCCTTGGGCGCCCTCACCTTGCTCACCCTTCCCAATTCTCCCAGAGCAGAAAGCACTCAGGGCCTCCAGCAGCTTCCAGGGTCCCCAAAAACCATCCCCTGGGGCTCCCTGGGAAAGGCTGCTGGACAGGAGGAAACTGCACCCGAAACCAGCTGGTCAGGCAGGGAAGCAGGCACACAGGCCCTCTGGGAAGCCAGAGAGGCTGCTGGGAGCAGTCAGAGGCACCCCAGGATCCCGCAGGATCTCACATTCCTGCAGATGCGGCCCCAGAGGCCCAGGGCCTAAGACACTCCATCTCTGCAGCACCCCAGCTCCTGGAAACCTTTCCCAGAGTTCTGAATCCCAACAGTTCCAATTTCAGCCTCACACTACCAGGGCAATTCACCTGTCCGCTGAGCCTCTGTGTCCCCATCTGTAAAATGGGGCTGCACCAACTCCCTAGCAGGTCATTGTGAGGACCATGTGTGTTAAGGACCCAGTATGGTGCCTGGCTCACAGCAGGTACAGATGTTGGTGGCCGTGACCGTGGCCGTGGATCAGCGCCACCTCTCCCCTGCGGGTGTCTGCCCACCGCTTGGCCCCGCAAACCCAGGCTAGGGAGGAGTGAGGCAGGCCCCGGGGTGGTCACTGCCTTTCCGGCACCCCCCCTCTCTGCAGAGACTGGGGACACTTGGGGTTAGCAAAGAGTTGGGCCCTACGCTGCACCAGGAAGATGAATTCCCACTTGCTGTCTGGCCCCGTTTTGGGAGCTGACCTTGGGAGTCAGCACCTGGGGGGAGAAGCCGTGCTCCAGCGAGGCCCGGCCTGTGCCATTCATTAGTGCGCCATCCTCACGAGTGGGTTTCGAAGCACATGCTGTTTCCTTGTCCACAGACATGGAAACTGACGCCCCACCAGGCAAGGTGGCACAGCAGAGACAGCAGAGCTGGGACCAGGCACAGGCATAAGGGACACCCAAGTCTTCAGCCTTTGCACGCCCTCAGGCAGCCAGCAGACCCCAGGCTGGTCCACCCATGAGGCAGTTATGTTGGGGGATGGGTGAGAATAAGGGTGAGGTGGGGTGCAGCCCGGCCCCACCCCAGGAACAAAGATCACCAGGGATACGTCTTCCCTGGTGAGTCTGGGCAGGTGCCACCTTCAAGGAGGAAGGAATGACAAATGGTCCTTCAGGTCTCACTGCCTTTTATGATGACACCTGGCTCCACCCCTGCCCCTGAGCACACCTGGAACAGGCAGAGGCAGGAGTCAGACCAGCTCCCAGCGCCTCATTCCCTCCTCCCATCACGTCACCCCCAGTGACTCAGAGTTTCGTGCTGATAAACAGAAGCAGGCCCAGAATACCAGACAGCGCGCTGCCAGGTGTGCCAGATGCTTCCTCACACTGACCAAGTGTGGCTCATCCGGGAGAAGCCCCTCCTCCCCCAGCCACACTGCCCAGCACTCCTGCTCCCCTGGAGAGGGAGAACCGAGAGTGGGGAGGAGCAAGCCCGGCACAGGACTGGGAGGAGGACGCGAAACTGCAACAGGGAATTAACCCTCTCTGTGCCACTTGGCCAGGAGGAGGGCTGAGCTGACACCTGGATACCCAGCCTCCGTCAGATCCACTCAGGACGGACTGGACATCTCCAACCCCGATCAGTAAACGCCCCACCGTCGGAGTTGGAAAAAGGCCCTGCCCCCAGCAGACAGCTGCTTCCCCCTGGTGCTTTCAGCCAGAGGCTCAAAGGCCTCACTCAGAACCACGAGGACCATCCCCTCACCTACCTGATATCCAAAAGGATCACCCAGGTCAAGGCTGGCCACAGGAGGGGCATTTGCTCAGCAGGCCCCTCACCACCCCACCAGCCCAGGGAGACACAGAGGCTTCAGGAGGTCAGGGGATTCCTGGGGGAGGGGCACCTGCATGCCTCTACTAGCAAATGAATCTCATGCTTCCCTCCAAGCAACCCCGCAGGCATTGCACAATTCCCAACTGCTAGGTGAGGGCACTCTGCTCAAACCCAGGTCGCCTCACTGCAGACCGGCCTCCAGCCCCAAACAGGGCTGCTCACCGGGCTCCTAACAGGGGAGCCAGGGAAGGAGGGACCATGAGGTCAAGGAGAGACCCAGCTGCAGAGGAGAGTGGGGCATGGGGTGGCAGGTTGTGGGGCGTGGGTGGAGTTGAGCCCCCTCACCAAGCGGAGAAGCAGCAGGTGAGGCCGAGGGTGCTCACAGGTGGAGGCAGAGCACAGGCGGGGAGTCAGGAGTCCAGGTTGTAATCCCCGCTCCGCCACACACTTGCTGAGTGTCCTTGGGCGATTATTTTTCCTCTCTGTGCTTCATCCACAGAAGAGTAGCCCAGGTGGTCTCCGAGGAACACTGACATGTACAGTTCTAGGAATAAGGGTTCGGGATTTCCAGAAGACTGCAGGGGGGCAGAACTGGAAAGCAGTTCAGGGGACACAGCACCGGAGGGCTTCTGGAGGGAGACTCACAGGGAGGGAGAGCTATTCCTGCAACAGGAAGGCCAGACGGGCGTCAGACCTCAGGCAGTCTCCAGCCCCACCTCTCCCCACCTCCTCCCCAGGAGAATCAGAAATTCTCCCACAAGAAACAAAAGTGCTGTTTTTGCAGTTCCCAGGGAGAAGGGGGCCGCACCCAGTTTGGTCTCATCCCTCCTTCTCCACCCTGGACCTGAAGCGAGACCTGTCACAATGGCCCCGGACAGAGCCAGGATGGAAGTGGGCGAGACAGACGCAGGCCCTGCCCATGCACCCTGGACACAGACGGGCAGAGCCAGACACTGGGCGGTTTTCTGAGTTGAATGGGGGACCATTGTTTTTAGCAGCACACTCTATTCTTGGCATCACAGGAGGAAGAAGCCAGCTCAGAGATCATAGGGTGGGGTGGGGTACAGCGCAAGGGACAGGAAGAGAGAAGACAGGGCCCTGGAGGGTATGTGAGGGAACCTTCTCCACAGGTCCACGCTGGGGAGGGACCTGCGAGGGAACAAGGAGGCTGCTTTGGGCGTGTTCTGCCCTTCATTCTTGCTTCCTCCTCAGCACAGCCAACCCAGCAGGTTGGCACTGGGCACCCTAAATCCAAGACTGTCCTGGTAGAGTGTGGCCCAGCCCTGACATGAAAAATAACTCCCACCAGCCTGGCTGGTGTGGCTCAGTGGATTGAGCCACGTCCCATGGACCGAGAGGTCCCAGTCAATTCCCAGTCAAGGCACATGCCGGGGTTTCAGGCTCAATCCCCAGCAGGGGGCGTGCTTCTCTCTCACATCAATATATTTTTTTTTATCCTCACCTGAGGATATTTTTCTATTTATCTTCAGATAGACTGGGAAGGACAGAGAGGGAATGAAAGGGACAGAGAGAGAAACATCAAGGTGAAAGGGACACATTGACGGGCTGCCTCCCACACAATCGGGACCAGGGTCGGAATGAACCGCAACTGAGGTACGTGCCCTTGGCCAGAATCAAACCCGCGACTCATTGGTCCGTGGCTGACATTCTACCACTGAGCCAAACAGGCCGGGGCCATATTGACGTTTGTATCTCTCTCTCCCTTCTTCTCTCTCAAACAAACAAACAAATAAACAAACAAAAACTCCCACTAGAGCTACATCAGGCTCCTGCCCCCAAAAGCACTGTCCACGGCCGGCCAGCTGGGCTGGGCCGCAGGCTGCCAAGTGCCAGTAGGGCACCTGGAAACAAGGACGGGAATGGGCCGCCCAGGAGGCTGGCAGCAGGCTCAGCATTAGGACCAGAAGAGCAGGCTGGGCTGGGTCCCCAGAGGCTCCTTGGGCCGGAGGCCAGCCCCCTTTGCAGACTCACATCTTGGACTCAGTGACAGAAGGGGGTTGTGGGCGGGGTAGGAGAGCATGGGAGTCATGTGGGGGGCCCCAGAGCCACTATTCACTGGTAGTGTGCCCGTGGGCATGTCACTCCATGTCCTTAAACCTCATAGTCCTCATCTGTTAAGTGGAGACGATCATGCCACTCACTCACTTCTTCAGACCATTGTGTGAACCCACAACTGACTGTGGAAGCCTTCTATGGACAGTAAAGACCGGGGCAAGCATCCTTCCGTTCAGGAAGCAAAGAAATGACAGAGGAGCAGACCGTCAGAGATGGGCCTGGCGAGGTGGCCAGCAGCCAGCCTGCTCTTTGGGACCCCGGAGTCAACACCATGACCTGGCCTGGGCCAGAGTCCCTGGGGGAGGGGGAGGCAGGCGGGGGAAGAAGTGTCCCTCTAGGTCCTGGATCGGAGGCCAGGAGGGGGCACTGTACCGCCCCCCTCCCAGTCACATGTGCTGCCTCGGCAGCCAGTGTGGTCAGGCCAGTCAGGCATGGACATTCCCCACATAGCAGCCCCAGGGGACAGGCTGGGCTCAGCAGGGTCACCAGCCCCCACCCTTCCCCTCTCTGCCTCTGGCTCCAACTGAAATTTGGCCAGCAATAAAGGTGGAAAGGAACTCTAGAAAAGTACAGACACAGAGACAGACATGAATGCTCCTCTTGAGAGCCCTGTCTCCCCCATCAGGCCGGGGCTTCCCAACCAGTCCTCTCCCCTCAGACTGGTGGCTCCGGAAGGACCTCCCCTGCAGACTAAATGTTCCTTGGCAGGCTATGGTCTCCCCATCAGACTGGTCATCCCAAGTGGGCAGAGACTGAAGTGGGTGCCAGGTGTGGCCAGGGCCCTGGGGACAGGAGACAGAAACCCATCCGGAGCTTCTAGAGCAAAACCCTCATTTCCTGTCTGGAGGCCGTCCAAGCAGTGGCCAGAGGCCTGACTAGGGGTGGGGAGGCTCGGGTCAGGCTGACCCAGCTGCTGTTTGTTTTCTTCCTCCTGGGCTCCTTCCCAAAGCAAATAACCCAGGGTGGGAAAATGAAGGGGACTTGGAGGAGAGGGAAATGCCGGGCCAGGTGGCTCGACCTGGGAACCTCCAGGCTCCCCCAGAGAGACCAGCTGGAGCTCTATTCCCTGCTGGTGACCCTGTGTGGGCAAAACCCCAAACTGGCAGATGACCCCAAACCGAAACTCCTGGAAATGGAAAAACACTTCACTAGCCTCAGGAAACAGTCAAGGGCGAATAGGTCAGTGATGTATCTCAATACGCAATTGCCTGCTGCCCCCTCCCTCCCACCCAGCCCCGGTGGCCTGCTGACCCGGCTGGTGTCACTCCTCAGGTGTGACTCACGGGGCTTCATGACGCAAGGACGGCTGCCTAGCCCTCTCCTGGGAGAGCAGGGAAGACCCCACTCTCATTCCCTGCTGGGCATTTGCTGGAGAAGACAAGGATTTGGATAAAAGTTTCATTAACATTTGGTATTGTATACAGGGCATGAGATCATCAAGATCAAGGCTACGAAACAAGAGGATGCTAAGAAAAGAGAAGGGGAAGAAATATTCCCGGGAGTCACCTCCAGGGAGTTGGATTTTATTTCTTCCCTAGTCAACTTTCCTAACATTCCAATTGTTTTCTACAATGATCAGATAGCACTGCTTCAATCAAGAGGGGGGGAGTCCAACCCCCTCCTCACCCCCAAACAAGCAGCATAGTCATTGCCCAGCCCCTGTCCCTACTCTCCTCCTGGCTGCCACTCCTCAAAGATAAGAATCCACAAGACTCCCACTGTCCTCACAATGAGAAAAGAAAATAGACCTGTTAACCTGCACATCGCAGGTCACAGAAAGCTGAGATTCCTTCCCTGAGGACTCCCACGGGCTGAGGTTCCCTGAGGTTGAGCAAAGGGGCGTGGTCAGCAAACTTTCTCTTCAGGCCCAGGCATAGAAGTTGCTGGAAACTGGGGCAGTCCATGTTCCTCAGACCTCCACCAGGTGCAGCCCTGTCCCAGGAGAGAGGCCTCACGGTCTCACTTGCAGGGACACAAACCCTGATGGCCTGGCCCAGCCACACTTCTCTTTCTCTTCCCCGGGGTGACTGGGCCAGCTGGTGGCTAATGGATACCTGGCCCTCTCGTTGCCAGGTCTCTTTTTGTCCAAAAGACACAAGACTGAGAGTTTCCCCAGGGACCCCAGCGGACCTCAGATTCACCCCAAAGGGTCATGACTGCTGCCTGCCCTCCTTCCTGGGGCAAGATGGTCCTCCCAGCTCACACGGATGGGTCCCTGCTTCGCCTTTTAGAGAAGAGTCAACTTTAAGCCTCCATCTCTCCCCTTTATCCCTCAACTCAAGATCTCACCTCTAACACAGAGGAAGTCCTTCCTCCTGTCTGGCCTCATCCCTTCCCTAAGAGCTTCAGTCCCATGTTGCTCTTGGGCCCTCGGGTGATGAAAAAGTGCAAGCCCCTCACCCTTTTAGAGCTAACAGGCAGGACTGAGTTCCTTCTCATTCCTTCTCTGTCACATCAAGTCTCCCCAGCCTTCTCTTCTCCAGCATCAATAATCCCCATGCGTGGGGTCCCCTCCTGCCTTCAAGGGATCCAGAAGCCCAGTGCTGATAGACTCACATACAGGCCCCTATTTCCTAGGCCCATTCAGGTGTCAGGTACCCAGGTGGCAAAAGTGCCAGAGCTGGGCAGGTCTGAGAGGACAGTGACACCAGCCCCTCCTTCAAGGACCCAGCCCCATCACCAGAAAGACACTCCCAGCAACAAAAAAATCCATGCAGTAATCCCACAGCTCCTGGGCTTCAAAGCAGAGGATAACCATCCTCATGCCCAAAAGCAGTCTCGCAGCTGCCTGGTACAATCCAGGAGGACACTGGCCCAGTCCTAAATCTGACACTCATTTCTCTCCACTTTCCAGGGAGCAGGCCTCTTTATCTTGGCAGAGCCCCAGCCCCCGGCAAAGCAGGCAACTCCTACTTCCTAAACAGGGACAAGCCCAGCATAGCCCATGGTCTGCCCAGCTCAAGCCACGAAGCAGTGGCAGCTTTGACCCCTGCTCTCCTCTCCCCAACCTCCTCCACACATCCGCCACAGACCCCAGCCTTGGGGAGAGCCTTTCCACCACCAGGAACTAAAAACCAAGCCACAGGGGAGATTTCAGAGGGCTGGACGCTGGAACATGAGTCACCCCCACCTGGCAAACCTGCCCCCACCTTCACCACCCACATATACCCTCCTGGGCCCTTCTGATGTCTCTTCTCCCCAAATCCCCAAGCAAAGGCTTTCAAAAAGGAATGGCAGAAAAACTCTTCCCAGGGCCACAGTGAGGTGACACATCAGGATGGGCTCTGGGTTTGGAGCCAGAGAGCCCAATGTCAGTCTTGGCTCTGCTTGAGTCTCGCTGTGCAACCTTGGGCAAGTCAGTTAACTTCCCTGAGTTTCAATTTCATCATCTGTAGAATGGGGTGAAATGATACCTCCCTCTAGGGACAGTCATAAGGATTAAGTGAGAATAGTTAATGAAAGTGCTTGGTATCTATAGAGTCCTCCCTTGCTTAAGTTACCATTTATCAAGTACTTACAGGGTAGGTAGGTATTATTATTATTCCCATTTTATCAAGGTCACTGAAACTCAGAGAGGTCAAGTGACTTGACCAAAGCCACAGAGGTAATGAGTGACGGAGCTAGGATTCAAACCCTGCTCAGGCCAAGCCGAAATCCCTGTGCTCAGAACTGCCCCACTATAACACTTCTCCAAATACATAGCCCTTCAGTTGATAAGTCTATTGTCCCATCTCATTCTAAGGTGGCTCCTCTCCTTACCCCTCCCAGGCCAGGGAGTGACCCCCTCCCTGGTACCTCCCCCAGGGCCCTCCAGCAGCCCCAGCCCCGACCTCCTTCATTCCCACAGGCTGCATTCTCAGAGCTCAGCCCTGGCAGCCTAAACAGAGGCTCCAAAGGGAATGGGGTGGAACTGGGTGAGGGAGTGGGGGGAGAAGGCTCCTGTCATCCAAGCTAGGGCTTGATCTAGCAAGAAATGACTAATTGGATCCTACTTTCCCCCCTCCCCCCACTCCCATCCAGTAAGTAGCCAGTTTTCACCAGGCACCTCCTAGCAATCCTTCCTCAGTATTATCTTTTCATCACAGCCACAAACCAGATTAGCTAAACTAATCATTTAACCAATGTAATTACAATGCCTTCCCCTCCTCCACTTTGGCATCCAGAAGAGGGAAAACGAGTTATTTTTGCCCAAATTCCAAGCCCTTATGGCTCCACACAGGTACACCACCCACTAGAGCAAAAGAGGGATGGGGGGGAAGGTGGTCCCTGGGGGGGGGCACTTCATGGGGGTTTGACCCTCGCCCCCACTCTCCCACCTACAAATAGGATGGAGGTGGTAGGGTTTTCCCAAGTGAGTCAGGACAAGCAGCCCTAATTTCCCCCCAATCTCCCTTCACCCCAGGACTCAGGGAGAACCTGGCTCTTACATTCCCTCTCTGTTCCCCAAGGAGGCTGGGTTCCAAGTGCCTGCAAAAAGACCACACTTCAGATTTTTACAAACCAGTGAGGTTGGTGGAGATCCCCAACTCTGGCCAGGGGAAGGGCTCTCAGATTGGGGTGGGGGAGGAGCTAATGCAGTTCTGCCTGAAAACCTTCCCTCTAGAAGCCTTCCTTCTGTCCCACTTTCCCCATCAAATTCTCTCAGGAAAGGGGGTGGGTGGGGAAAGGGCAGCAAACGCCTCCAGAAGGAATGCACCTTCAAAACCCAGAAATCGAATGGAAATCAAGCCCCATTGCTCCGCGTTTTTCGGCCTCAATTACCAGCCAACTAAATAACGTAGGGAACGGGGTAGTGGGGGAAAAAAAGACCAGAACAGTCGCTTCCCCCACGTTCGTCATTTGGCCCGGCCCTGCCCCACCCCCATTCCTGGGGAGGGGGCAGAGCTTGGGCCAGGGCCACTAGCTCAGGCCTCAAGTGAGGGGGTGTGGTGGTCCCCGGAGGCAGGAAGAGAAGGAAGAAACTGCTTCCCCTTCGGCCCACCCCACCCCCACTTCAGGCCCCAGGGGCCCAGCAAACAGGATGGAGGTGGAGGCAGGGAGGATAGGGTCAGAGCGCAAGCACTGGCCCTGGATCAGCCTGGCCAGCTGGGGGATGGGGCTTTGCTCCAAGAAGGACCCCATAAACCTGGGGTAAGCCCTGGGCAAAGAGGCAGGAAAATCCCCAGAAAAAGCTTCCGTGAATACTTCTCCTGGAAAGTTTGTTTTGGGTGATATTTTCCGACAATAAGAGGTTAGAGAAGAGGGTAGTCCTGTTCCCATATTAACAATCTGGAAGCTGCAGCTACTGGAAAATGGGCCAGTGAATTCTCCACCCATGCACGACCCCTCCGCCCAGACCCCAGTCCGAGCCACGGGTGTCAGACACCGGCTGGGTGCAGAGCCGGCCCTGCACAAGTCCCACTGTCATCCCACCGCGCCTCCGCTGGTGAGCCCCAGCTGGGCACCCACCTGAGTGGAGGGAGGCGCCGCAGGTACAGTGCCAATGAGGCTCCGGGAGCTGGAGGACAGGGCCTGTGCACTCCGTGTGCTCACCTGCTCGGCAGGTGGGGCCCGCGTCGCTGGGAAAATGTGCGCTTGGCCCCCACAGTTGGGCAAGCCGGGCGCAGACAATAGGGCCCCACCCAGGCCTGGGGGAGTAGAGAGGGAGGGAAAGCAAGGATGACGCGTGAGGTGGGGTGTGGGTGGCCCCAAAGAGACCAGAGGCAGCAAGTTTCCCAAACAGTAAATTCCTAACCGGAGTGAGCTCTGGGACGCAGGAGGAGCAGGTTAAAGTCTCTCCTGCATGAGGCAGGCGAGAGTCAGGGACGCGGCGTCGGGCGAGTTCCACGGGTCCCGGAGAAGGCACAGTTCCGGAGGCACCTGCCCTGACCACTTCCCGCCCTTATTAGATCCCGGGCCACGGAGCCCGCAAGCGCACTCGGCCGGAGCCTCGCGCCCGCGGAGGTCGCCGCGCCCAAGACCCCGGCGCGCCCCCTGCCGCCGGTGCAGAGTGACGCTCCCTGGCTCCCGCCCTCACCTGCCCTGAGACCGAGGGTTCGGCCTCTCCGCCGCCCGCCGCCCTTCCCTCGCCCCAGGGATACCTGCCGCGATTGTCCGCACCTGCGTGTGGAGCCTGGCCGGGCTGAGTAGGGGTCGGGCCGGGATGGGAGCCGGCGCGGGCAGCGAACTGTTCGGCACGCTCGGGCGGCGGCTGCTCCGGACTCTGGCCAAGGCAGCAACTCAGTAACTGAACAAAAGGCGAAGGGACCTGACAGCCAAGCCACGCCTCTCGCCCCCTTGAAGCCCCGCCCCTTAGGGAGACGCCCACTCGTTGGTGTAGGCTCACTGGCTGCCTTGTCTGACTGTCCCGTCAAGGGGCGGAGCCTCGCCCCCAGTCCTCTTCCACCGCCGCCTCTGTTTATCCACGGGCCATTGGCCCCAGGGACTGCCAGTCGGCTCTGGGGACGGCCTCCAACTTGAGGTTTCATCCTAACTCTGCACCTATTGGCAAATATAAGGTTACTTCCTTCTGATTGGGCAAGGAACTGTCAGTAAGCCTAAGGAAAGAACCAATGGGAGGGATGGGGTGTGTCTTGCCCCACCCTACCTCTGAGCAGGTAGGACTCATTACTCTCCCCTTCCCCCTACCTGTCCAACAGGTGAGTCAGGGGGCGCCATGGGAAAGGACAGATGCCTTCACAGGCCAGCCAACTCAGCGTCAGGTATGATGCTTCTCTGGGCTTATTCATTCTTGCCACAAAGTCATAATAACATATTTGTATAGCATTTAATAGGCTTTTTACTGGGTCGGGATTTTCTCCCCAAAGTTGAAGTGCCCATAAGATTTAGAATTAAAACGCCAGGGTTTGGGTTTTGCCACTTAGTAGTTGTATCACACCTCAGACAAGTTTCTTCATGTTTCACCCTGTTTCTCCTCGTCTGTAAAATGGGTACATTAGCTATATCTCTCACACAGTAGTGTGTGGGGATGAAATGAAGTTGTGAAATCACTGGGACAACTGCTAAATGTTAGAATTTAAATAAATGATATAGGTCTTTTTTTTTTTCTAATTCTCATGACAATTCTGAAAAATCATTAGGACAACAACATGATCCTCATTTCAAAGATGAGGAAACGGGTTCAGAGAGGTCACAAAATGGCACATCCTAAACTAGAAAATGGCACATCCTAAACTAGAATTAGAACCCCTTCTAATTTTAAGCCCACTAAACCATGTGTTCTTCTGGTGGAATAATAGCATAGACATAAAATGTCAAAGCAGTGGGGTGAGGCTGGGAAAAAGGAAAAAACAAATATTTCTGGGTAGAGACAAGAGCAATAATTTGAAGAAAATGATTTGTACAAAATCGTTTGTAAAAAAAATCAGGCAGCAGATCTAAAGGAAATCAACACTGGCATAAAAGAAAATGAGGCAGTGGGCCTCTCGTTAGAGGAAGGGTCTGGGCTAGTTATTAGAAAGAGCTTCTCAGTAGGCACACGAAGAAGACAAGGGTCTTTCCTTTGTGTGGTTGATGGACTGAATGCCTGCTGGTGGTTGTACAACATGCCAAGGGTCCTGCAAACATTCATTCACCAACACTTAAGTATTGAACACCAACTGTATGCTAGGCACTGAGTTAGACCCTGATGACACAGAAAATCAAAATGATCCCAACCCTCAAAGGACTCCCAAAGGGCTAAGTATAAACAGACCACCTTAGCCACTCTGTGTGTGGGAATGTTGGGGGAGTGGTTGTTCAGAAAAGAGTCCTTCTTCTGAAAAGCTTTATAGCCCCAAAGCTAGCACACAGGATGGGCTGGACAAAGGTACCCCAGCAGCATCCTTGACCACTTTCCCCACCAGAGAAAGGAATAGTGGCTACACAGTCTCATTTCTGAGGCGTGTGCCATCCAAGAAGTCTTTAGGGAGGGGGCCAGGGAGACATCAACATTCCTAACCAGTTACCATCCCACATGCCAAGACCACTGCCCTTTGCTTTGTTTCCCTCCTCCCCCTCCTCCAGCTTATCTCAGTATCTTTCTCCTCCCTTACCCTGCCCCACCCACCTGCTTGCCACACTGCCACACAGTACAGTGGCCAGTCCCCTGTTTGGGAGGAAAAGCACTCATAATCCTAGGCTGCTGCCAACACCATGGTTTCACTTCCTCCCTCTCCCACCTCCCACCTTCCCCTGCCCACCTCCCCACCCTGACCCTACACACTGACACACACACTTCTCAGACCCAAGACTGGCTTAACTCCTTCCTTTCTCTCAACTTCAGCATACAGGGAGGGTAGGGCTGGTTGACTGCAGAGGGATGGAAGAGCCTGAGTGGGGTGGAGGGCCAGAAATAAGGCCTCAGAAGAGAGAGAGAGAGAGAGAGAGAGAGAGAGAGAGAGAGAGAGAGAGAGAGAGAGTCCCAGAATGCTCCCTGCCTGTCAGCCTGGAACGTGCTGCAACATGATGGCCTCAGAGCTAAGCACTTGGGCTGGGAATAGGTGGCGGCACCAGCATCAGGAAAGACTGGAATAAGAACTGTACCCCTCCTCCCAGATCATGGAATTTTCTGCATATTTATTAAGCACCTATTATGTGTCTGCCAGGCACTGAGGGCACAGAAAAGAATCAGAAAATGATGTGTACTGTAATCAGCTGTCTGTATGGAGGATGTGGTCTCCTGCGTGGGGTGAGGAGGTGCCTGGGGATAAGGGATTAGAATGAGAGTCTCTGTGGCCACCGTCTCCTCTGTAGCTTGAACTTGAAGGAAAGGCCACAAGACCATCTTATCCAGTGCCCTGCCTCCAAGCCTTTAAAGGCAGAGATTTCTGTTTGCCAGATCTCCAGAAAAGGAGATTCTCTAGCCTCCCTTATATGAATACCCTTGTCTCATTCTAACACTGGTAAGTTCCTTCTGATGTTTAGCCTCAATTCATATTTCTGCAGGTTAAACTCATTTCTCTTGTGCAAAGCTCGGTGGAGGCAGAGTCCTTGGGCCGCTAAGAACACATCTGGTTCATTCAACCTTGCAGCTTTCTGGGGCCTCAGAGTAGAGAAGGAAAGGGCACCAAGTGGCGTGTCCCAAGCTGCCCTAGAGACAGAAGTTGCTGGCAAAGAGGGGTCAGATGAGGGGCTGGTGGGCGGGAGGGGAGTAAGTGAGGGGTAGGGAGGCAATTTGGGGGGGAGGTGAACAGCCAGGGGCCTCCTCCACTCATCTGCTTCCCTGGTCCTCCACCAGCCTCTGGGCCATATAAGGATGCGGAGGAGATTCTGCTCTCTGTTCAAACTCAGCCTTTTTTTCTGTGGGGGCCCCTTCCCCAGACAGAGGCAGGCAGAGATGTAGGTTTGCACAAATCACACACACACAGCCTCTGCGCCCATGTCTCGGATATACACACATGGGCACAGATTCAGATACAGAAATGCCAGCCTTGTCAGTTCTCTCCCCAATACACACACACACACACACACACACACACACACACCACACACCACACGCACACACCACACACACTACACACACACATACATATATGCACGCACACACACACTACACACACACACACATACACACACCACACACACGCACGCACACTACACACACACCACACACGCACACACACCACACACACACACACACACCCTTCTTCTCTCCTCTTGGGCCTAAAGTAGCCTTAGGAATGGCCACCTCCAGTAAGAAAGACTGGGAGAGCAGATGAGTTGCCAAACCTCAGGCTGATGATGGTTCCTCTTCATCACACAGCAGCTCTCCCTGGTGTTACAGCAGCAGGAGAGCAGACGACCAGACCGTCCCGCAGCTGGAATCAAAGGCAATGCAAAAATCAAGAGGCATAGCCTGGCCCATGTGGCTCAGTGGATTGAGTGTTGTCCCATGGACTGAGAGGTCCTGGTTCGATCCTGGTTCAATCCCTGGTTGTGGGCTCAATCCCCAGTGGGGCGTGTGTGGGAGGCAGCCAATCGATGTTTCTCTCACACATTGATGTTTCGATCTCTCTCTCTCTAAAAAAAAAAAAAAAATCAAGAGGCATCTTGAGCATGGGCTTTCTCTCAACCAGGGAGAGCCATCCGTAGACTGAAGAAGGGTATCTGTCCTGCCCTTTGGAAGGCCCCATGCTGGTCCTCCTGGGGTTGTACCCTCCACACAGGGCCAGGAGGACAAGCCTACACAGAGCTCATACCTCTCCCCTTCAAGACTACTCTGGGTAGTGGACACTCTGGAATCCCTCACCCAGCACTGTAGGACCCGCGGGTCCCTTACTCTGGCCCTTCCCCCAGGAATGGACAGCAGTACCACACGCTGTATGTGCGCACTTGGGCACATATGCAGGAAGGATGGACACATCGCAGGCATGCAAGCTGGGGTATCTACACACATGTACTGGAGGCCCTCTGTGGTGTGGGGGGAGCCAGGGCACAAAAAAAAGGGGAGATGGCCCAGGGACTGGGGGTGAGGGGACAGCTATTCCCAGACTGCTGTGTTCTGAGGAGTCAGCATTCTCAGTTCCATCCTCGCCCTTCCGTTCATTGTGGAGGTCTACTTGTCAAGGTATATCTTATTGAACAGTTTGTCGGCCTGATCTGTAAATTATTTAGATCTACATGAGCCTCCGTTTATACTCCTGCCCCTGCTCTCGGGTGGAGTGTCAGGGTGGGGGAGCTTGCTCAGAGTGATACCTGAGCCAGGAAAGGACATTGGCTGCTGCAGAAGGACCCCTGGACTCCCAAACTCGCCTGGTGGGAAAGGGCACAGCATCCCCCAGCAGGAGCAGGGGCAGGGGCAGGGGCAGGGCAGGGGCAGGGGCAGGGGCAGGGGCAGGGGCAGGGGCAGGGCAGGGGAGGAGCAAGGGCAAGAGCAGGGTGGGATGGTCCCAGACCGGGATAGGAGTGCTCCTGCCTTTTTTGCTGCCCTTTGTCTACAGGAGGAGCCTGGAGGCTAGAGGCTGCCCAGGGCCCAGGTCTGGTCCTTTGGATGTTTGCCCAGTCATGGTGGGGGAAGGGGTGGGCTCTTAATTATAGAGGTAGCTCCAGTAACACTTCACTGCAATATGTGTGGGTGGAGATGGAATGTCAAAGGGAAAACAGGGAGACAAGAAAACAGAGATAGGAGAAGCCAGAAATAGCACAGGCCTGGGTGAGACACCAGGGGCTGGTGGTGGTGGAGGGAGGCCCAGACCGCTCCAGAGACGGGCTATCCTGGGTTTGCCCTCCTTGCC